TCTCTATTTGGACCTGTATTTTGACAAAATAGAGAACTGTTCTCTATTTTAAATTTAAAATAAATGATAGAAATGTTACTAAATTTATTAAATATTTATTTATTTATACAATAATAAAGGAATTGACACTTTCTTTATTAATAATTGCCATTTTTTATACACTTAACACAATAAATGTTACTTCAACATTAGTATTAAATAAACTCGATTTTTAAATTTAGAAGTAAAATTAACGTAAAATATGTGTTTTCTATTTGTTCTCTATTTTAAAGAGAATTTGGTCAAATGTTCTCTATTTTTAAACCTAGAGGTGGTCACGCTGCATATAATGTAAGTAATTATTCACTATTATTTTAATTGCTATTAAAAATAATGATAGTAAAATGCAGCAAAAACCAATAGGTTTTTTATTTAAATATTTAAAGTAATAAGTTAAAGTTAAACCATATTAAATATATTTTATTCAGAGTAAATATTGATAGGATAAGTAAATATTGTATTTTAATGTAAATATGTCAATAGAAGACTACAGGTAAATAATTAAAATATGTTCTCATTTTATCATTTATATTTATAGGTATTTAAATAATCATATTCGCAGTGTATTTATCACAATATACAAATATATTAATATTATATTTACTGTAATCATAATTATTTTTGCACAATTAAACATAAATTTATAATTATATAAACCAAAGCAATAATCAATTATTATTAATATCACTAAAAAGTTTTTCAATTTTCAATTTAGATCACAAAAGTCAGACTCAAAAGTAGATCTCATAGAGAATTATGTTTAAACGGAAAGCAAAGAAACCCAAAGTGAAGATCAGTGTCTCTCCGGACTACCCGTTGCCGCCGGAGTTGAGACAAGACAACTGCGGAACACATCCTTACGTTCGGGGCCTCACATCCCACCGATGGGCCGATGAGCGCAGGCATCCACTCCATCACCCGAGTATGATGTTTATGACCTTGTTCATTTCGTTTTGTCGCGATATTTATGGCTTTATGACACCATTGGACAAACAAATGGCTACATATGTCGGCGATTATCCATATTTTTTTCATTGCAAATCTCAGCTCAATCTGGCTGTAATAAATTATAGCTTAATGGCCATGCTCACTTTGATATATTACAGGTAATTGTTATTAATTAATAATTATATTATTCGTGTTGAACAATTTTTAATTGAATCTAGATATATTTTGACATTAGAGCATTATAATAATATTTGATTAAATACATAAATTACTTATGCTTATTGTAATATTCTACGAACTTATTTAATTAATTAATTATATCTGTTGATAAGTTATAGATAAAACAATTTCCAAAATTATAGGTATATGTACTACAAGAAGAGGTACCCCTTCCCGGAGGCTCCCATACGGCTATTGGCGGGTACAGTCACACCCAGGAGTGTTGGGCTGTTTGATGAGGCGGTTATCATAGAGATGTGCAAATCGGCCAAATTCTGGTTCCATCACACGAAGACCAACACTAATCTCGTAGGTTTGGCCGCATTTATAATATGTGTATTTCCCGTCCACTTCGGTGTCAACGACTGGTCACTGTTTCCCATATATTTTCCGTGGGGTGTAATCAACGCTATGGGCATACGATATGTGTTTAACATAAGCCACTGGACGTACACTTATTTCTATCTGATTTGTTTCTATCATAAGGCGCGTATGAAACAGACCCGGCTTATGATCAATGCCCAGTATGTTAAGTACGGCCGTACAACTGACCAATACGTCTATCAACTGATCAATACGTTTGCAGGCATTTATGCCGATATCGGAAAGGATAATGGTCGCTTTTTCAAAACGTTCTCGATCATTTTTCTGCCTCTATTTATGATTTTTGTCGATTGCTTATTGTTTACCGAGTTTTTCTCGGAAATACCTCTGGTGACCAGGTTTGTTTTTGGCTATCTGTTATGGTCGGGAACTTTTGTAATATTAAGTTATCTGAGAGTTGTGTCGAGTGTTGCCGAAGAGGCGAAGAAAGCGTACAAACCGTTGCATAAATTGCAAACAACTTTGAAAACAAATTCAAAAGTTTGCCGATATAAGGTATACATTATATACTACATAACTTACATAATTACTTATTAATTAATTAAAATATATTATAATATTTTAATTTAATTATGATTTCTATTACTATTAGTTAATGGCTTTCATCGAGAAAGTGGCCAATAAAGATGTGGGCTTTACTTTTGGCTTTTTATTTAAGTTTTCTTATATGAAATCGTATGAAATATTGACACTTATTGCCGCATATTTCTTTAAAGTTATGGATTTATAATTACTGTATTTGTCTATAAATATATAATGATGCTATTTAATACTTACTACTTACATTCATAGTCAATAAATTTAATGATGGTATATGGAATAAATAACACTTGAAATTCAAATAATTTTCTAATTACTTATAGTAAACATATATTTTAAAATTTTTGTAAAAAATTTATTTTTCATTTAGACAGTAATGTTTCTAAATTTATAATTTAATTAGAAATGTGTTTAATTTAATTTGAGTATAATTATATTCGACAGATTTAATTATATATCAACTTTTAAAATTAAAATATTTTTAAAATTTTTTATAAACAAACAAAATATTATTGATAACGTATTAAGATTTTTTTCAATTAAGGAATTGCACATTTATTAATTGCATTATGGCATTAATATATAGAATCAATATTTGTACAAGATCGTAAAATTCTACAACTAATGTTTTATAATGGCATTATTTTAATAATAACGATCTTAATTGTATTTTTTTGCTACACGATATCATTAATTTATAATGAGAACACTATAAATATACATGATAATAATTTTAATTATTTTTAAACACGATAACTATGTTCAAATTACTTTTAATAATAAATGAATATAAAGTAAACTTTTTCATAATTGAATGCAACTCTTAAGATGTAAACAACTAATTCTGTAAATTGTCTTAAGCATAAAATTAATCAAAACTATTATCATATTATATGCAATTATACATTATTAATGTATATATTATTAATATTAAACAAATTACTATATTACTAAAAATTTGCCCAAATTAATAATGTTTAAACAAAAACCAAAGAAACCGAAAGTGAAGATCAGTGTCTCTCCGGACTACCCGTTGCCGCCGGAGTTGAGACAAGACGACTGCGGAACACATCCTTACGTTCGGGGCCTCACATCCCACCGATGGGCCGATGAGCGCAGGCATCGACTCCATCACCCGGTCATCATGTTTGTAACCTTGTTCATTTGTTTTTGTCGGGATATTTATGGTTTCCTAATGCCGAGTGACAAACAACTGGCCACTTATGTTGGCGATTATCCATACTTTTTCCATTGTAAATCTCAACTCAATCTGGCTGTAATTAATTATAGCCTAATGGCCATGTTCACTTTAATATACTACAGGTAATTGTCATTATTTACATTATTAATATTAATCAATTTTGAATCGTTTTTGATGACTTATAGAGAATAGATAATTGTCTACTATAGTCAATAGTATTTAATTATCTACAAAAATAAATAATGCATAATTTAACAAAAATATATTAATAAATTGTTCTATCTACAGTATATTTAAAACTTATAAATAAAGCAATTTCCAAAATTATAGGTATATGTATTACAAGAAAAGAATTATAAATCTATTCAATAATATGCTTACAGGTATTTGTATCACATCAAGAGATACCCGTTCCCGGAGACTCCTATACGGCTAATGGCGGGTTCAGTCACACCCAGGAGTGTAGGGCTGGTCGATGAGGGGGTTATCATAGAGATGTGCAAATCGGCCAAATTCTGGTTCCATCACACAAAACGTAATACTAATGTTATAGGTTTGGCCGCAATTATAATATGCGTGACACCCGTCCACTTTGGTGTCAACGACTGGTCAATGTTTCCCATATACTTTCCGTGGGGTATAATCAACGCTATGGGCATACGATATGTGTAACATTAGCCACTGGACGTACACTTATTTTTACCTGGTATGTTTCTACCATAAGGCACGTATGAAACAGACCCGGCTTATGATCAATGCCCAGTACGATATGTATGGCCACACGACTGACCAACACGTCTATTGTCTGATTAATACATTTGCCGACATTTATGCAGATATTGATGAGGATAACGATCGCTTTTTCAAAACGTTCTCGATCATTTTTCTGCCCCTATTTATGGTTTTTGTTGATTGCCTATTGTTTACCCTGATGTACTCGGAGTTGCCGATTGCCACTAAGCTCATATTTAGTTATATGTTTATGTCGGGAGCAATTGTTATATTAAGTTATCTGAGAGTTGTGTCGAGTGTCGCCGAAGAAGCGAAGAGAGCGTACAAACCGTTGCATAAATTGCAAACAACTTTACACCGAAATTCAAACTTTTGCCGGTATAAGGTATGTCATGTAAACTGTTAATTATTAGTTAATCTACTTAATTTGTAAATTAATCTTATATAAATTTAATTTTTATATTATTTTTTTAATTAGTTAATGACATTCATCGAGAAAGTGGGCAAAAAGGATGTGGGCTTTACTTTTGGATTTTTATTTAGATTTACTTATTTTAAATCCTATGAAATATTGACACTTTTGGGGGCAATTTTCTTTAAAATACAAAATTTATAAGGTTTTAATTTTTATACATTAATAGCCAATAATTTTAATAATATAACGTAAAATGATATTTAATTAATATTTTAGGTTTAAATGATTTTTAATTTTAAAAAATAAAATAAATATTATTTTTCCATAATAATTTTACTGCCACATTACCATGACAGGCTATTCTGGTTAACATTTTGGTTTAAATTAAAAATTCAATTTACCATACACCCCCATAATAAATGTAGAAATGTAAATTTAAATAATTTTACATATACATTACATTACAATAGTACATGTACAATTTACATTATAGTTATGCTCAGAATTATTTACTAAATATGAGTATTAAATATTTTAAAAATGAAAATATCTCAGCAAATTCTATATTAACCATTGTCATTCATTTACAACTAATTAAATTTAAATATAATTCCTCACAACCATGTCTATGTTTTAGATTCTAGAATACAAATTCTATATATTAATTAATAAAAATTTAATAAAATATACAACATGATAAATGATGTTGTTTATGTACCATTCATGTTTAAAATTTGACTTGTAGTCTAAACTGCAGTATGGACTGTATATCACCTTGTATATTATAAAAAGTATCTTCCTTATTTAGAATTTGACGATGAATTTGAATATGAAATCCGTTTCTGAGTAGGCATGATATTTTACTGTACGTTTATTAATTACATTATGACATTAACATTTAGAATCAATAATGGTACAAGATAATAAAATGCTCAAGGCTTTACAACTAATGCTATTTAATTACATTATTTTTATAATAAAAATCTTAATTGTGTTGTTTGCTACACTATATCATTAATTTATAATTAGAACACTATAGCATGATGATATATATTAATTATTTTATAACATGAAAATCATGTTTATATTATTATTATTATTAGATGAATAGGAAATAAACTTACTCTCAATTGAATGTAACTCTTAAGATCTAAACAAGTTTTGTGTTCCACAATGTTTTAAGCAGTGTCTAAATAAAATCATATTATATTCAATTATATATCGTATAAAATTGATTAAATTTTTAATAATAAAAAACATCTTAGTGATTCAATAACCATATAAAATTAAAGACATTCCCAATTTTACTATTAGACTCTTTTAGACAAAAATAAGTCAACAAAAAGTTATATCTCATAACAAAATATGTGTAAAAAGTATATCTCATTGAGAATTATGTTTAAACGGAAAGCAAAAAAACCCAAAGTGAAGATCAGTGTCGACCCGGACTACCCGTTGCCGCCGGAGTTGAGACAAGACGACTGCGGAACACATCCTTACGTTCGGGGCCTCACATCCCACCGATGGGCCGATGAGCGCAGGCATCGACTCCATCACCCGGTCATCATGT